ACAAATGGGACTACATCAAAATAAAAAGCTTCTGCACAGCAAAAGAAACCATCAACAAAACAACAAGAAAACCCACTGCGTGGGAAAACATATTTGCCAACGTCATATCTGATAAGGGCCTAATCTCCAAAATTTATAGGGAACTCATACAACTTAACAAAAAGAAGATAAACAATCCAATCAAAAAATGGGCAAAGGATCTAAATAGACACCTTTCAAAAGAGGACATTCAGAAAGCCAAGAGACATATGAAAACATGCTCAAAGTCACTAATCATCCGAGAGATGCAAATCAAAACAACAATGAGGTACCATCTCACACCTGTCAGAATGGCTATCATCAACAAATCAACAAACGACAAGTGCTGGAGAGGATGTGGAGAAAAAGGAACACTTGTGCACTGCTGGTGGGAATGCAGACTGGTGCAGCCACTATGGAAGACAGTATGGAGTTTCCTCAAAAAACTGGAAATGGAACTCCCATTTGACCCTGTGATCCCACTTCTAGGAATATATCCCAAGAAACCAGAAACACCAATCAGAAAGGATATGTGCACCCATATGTTCATAGCAGCACAATTCACCATAGCTAAGATCTGGAAACAGCCTAAGTGCCCATCAGTAGATGAATGGATTAGAAAACTGTGGTACATCTACACGATGGAATACTATGCTGCTGTAAAAAAGAAGGAACTCTTACAATTTGCAACGGCATGGATGGAGCTGGAGAGCATTATGCTAAGTGAAATAAGCCAGTCAATGAAAATAAAACAAAACAAAAAAAAATAAAAGCATAATAAAAAAATTACAAAGGACTTTATGCCAATTTGACAATTTAGATGAAATACATAAATTCCTTGAAAAAATAAAATACATCAAAACCAATACAAGATAAAAGGTAAAGTTGAAAAGTTTAAAAATTGAATGTTTAATTTAAAAATCACACAAAACTATAGGCCCAGCTGAAATTCTATCAAACATTAAGGAAGAAATACCTTTTTACACAAACTCTTTGAGAAAATAGTAAAGAACACTTCCCAACTTATTTTATGAGGCCTACATAACCCTGACACCAAACCTGGACAAATACTGCAAGAAAAATTATCAACTAAATTCTCTCATGAGAATAGACACAACGATCCTTACAAAACATACCAAATGGAATCTAGCAATATACAACAAGGAGCTATATATTTTTTAAATCAGCAATATATAACAAGACTAATGCATCATAACCATTTGAGCAAGATTATTTCAACATTCAAAAATCAATTGCTATGACTCACATATAATAGAATGAATACAGGAGAAAAACCATATGATCATGAAATATATGCAGAAAAAAGTATGAGACAAAATTTAACACTCATTCATGATTTAAACAAAACTCCATAAACTAGAAAAATATGGGACCTTCCTAAATCTATTAAGTGCACCTATTGAAATAACTACAATTAATATAGAATAGCAAAAATGAAAAAAAAAAGAATGCTTCCCCTCTAGAACTGGGAACAAGGCAAGAATATCCATTTTACCATTTCTAATCATTATTATACTTCTAATTTCCTAGCTAGTACAATAAGTCAAGAAAAAGAAATAACAGGCATGCAATTGTAAAAGAAAAACTGTTGTATTCACAGACAACAGATTGTATGTATATGTTGAAAACCTTACAAAATCTAAAAAGACAATTGAATTTAACAAAGTCATAGGATACTACATCAATAAAAAAAGTCAATTTTTCTATATCAGCAATGAAAGGCTGAAAAATAAAATTTTAGAAATACCATTTACAATAACATTAAAACCACAAATACATAGGAAATAAGATCTATCATGTACCTCAGTTTCCTCACCCATAAAATAAGATCAGAGCAGTTCCTTCCTCATATAGTTGTTGTTAGGGTTATATGAATATTTTTAAACATAGAATATTGCCAGGTAGGTCATAAGTCCTATGTAAATGTTAACCCAAATCTCAAAGTACATGCCAGTTATAAGGTGAATGGAAGATATAGTATAGATGTTTAAAAATTAGCACTTGATGTGAAATTTTCCCCCTACCACAAAGAAGGAATTTGTGACCTATTGAATATGTGACAGTGCTATTAACATCTGTTACAAATTTGAGTCTTGCCCTATCTGGTTTGGGTCAGTGGATAGAGTGTTGGCCTGTGGACTGAAGGGTCCCAGGTTCGATTCCGGTCAGGGGCACATGCCTAGGTTGCGGGCTCGATCCCCAGTGTCAACCAATCAGTGATTCTCATCATTGATGTTTATATCTCTCTCTCCCTCTCCCTTCCTCTCTGAAATCAATAAAAATATTTAAAAAAAATTTTTTTTGAGTCTTGACCAAGAGTCTGATATCTTGTACTGAGTAAGTTATTCCAGTAGGAGGAGCTCTGACCTAGAGTTTGAAATGACACTATTTGCTTTGGGGATCCAGACCTTCCATGACCTAGAATTTGTCCTTTCTTTGCGCTCTGTGCAGTGTTTAGAGAAATAAAATGCTGCTACAAACTATATATAATTTTTCTGAGAAGCAATATATTTGAATAAATGAATTTGATTTAGATTTCAGACTTAATTTTTAACAGAAATAATGCATTTTCCTTGTATTGGCAAAAAATTAAAAAGGGTAACTTTTTACTTTATAAACATCCACATTTGGGGATTAAAAACAGTATATTTACTTTTTTTTTTCTTTTGAGACCACTGTATAGAAAGCTTTACAAAAGCTTTCTCGGCCTCAAACCTCAAATTTACCCTTAGGCTTCCAAATGTCCTCTACTATTAAACAAATAGAGCCGTCTTCATCAGCAAGAGCCATTTTATTGTTCTACCTTCATATTTATTAAATTTAAAATATTTTCCTATTTTCTTTTTACTTGTTCTTAACTCATTTAGTCTTCAGAAGTGCTATTTTTGTTCTTATTGAGGTACTAGAGGCCCAGTGCACAAATTCGTGCATAGGTGGGTTCCCTCGGGGTGGCCTGCGGGGATTGGGCCCCAGCTCGTGCCCCCAGCCTCACAGCCCAGCAGCCCCGCCTGGCACCCTGCTGTGGCCTGGCGCTGCCCCCTCATCTGCTCCACTATCCAGCCCGATGATTGATCTGCCTGGGCTCTCTCCCCAGCCCCCCAGCTCCCTCAGTGCCTGGGAGCCGGGCTGTGGCCCCACTCGCACCCACCCACCTTGGCCTAGCGCCGCCTGCTCGCTTGCTCCACCATCCACCGTGTTCCTGCTCTCATCAGGGCCCATCGGGGCCGGCAGTGCCTCCACTGCCACCCGCTGCTGCCTGCCAATACCCGCCATGTTCCATGCCGCCACATGGTGATCAGCGCATGTCATAGCGAGTGCTTGAACTCCCAGTCGAACAATTTGCATATTAAGCTTTTATTATATAGAATATTTGACCATGAAGAGTTGCATATATTTAAGGTATACAATTTGATGATTTGATATACATTGTGTGGTGCTAGCATTATGAGTTTTTACATTTTTGTCATTTATCTCATAGTTGCTCTTGAAAATCTTGATTTAAATCAAGTAAACCAAAGGGGACATGTCTCACTAATTTCAGGTTGCTAGGCAACTAGTCTACCTCTCCATAGCATCTCTTCTATTGTTCAGAGATGTGGCAAAAAGTATGTACTATTTAAGACATATACATACATATATATATGCCGTATATATATGTATGTATATATTTAATAGAATCACTTCTTGGAAAACTATTCAATCTGTGGACTTTGTGTTATCTTATTTCTCTAAGCCAACTTCCCATTCCATCTTTCAATCTTTTGAAGATGAATAAAATTAATATTTAGAATTTTTCCTTAGTGAAATGAATGGATATCAATGTATATTTTCCTCCTCATCCTCTGAAATTTTTCATATAAGATCTAAGTCTTTCTTAAATATAATATCAAAACCAAATATTTTTCACAATGTCATAACAAATGGTATTATTATCTCTGTATGTGTTTAGGTTTGCAAGCGCAGAATCTAGAAGCTGATTAGTTCCTGCAAGGTACCTTGCCTATAATTATATGTACTTAATTTATGATTACTTTGGTGTGTAATATGAATACTATTTAAAGATAGAGATTTTTCATTTCATATGTTTTTTACTTCTTAAAATTATAACTTGAAAACCTAAAGATAATTGTTAAAATAGCCAACTATAGGATCCTTAACTTTATTAATCACTTTATTTAAAAGATCAGAGAATATCAAGACAAAACTAGTCCAATCACCTTTCCAAGCTGAACCTTCTTTATCCCATCTCACACACCTGCCAAGTAGCTGCCCAATCTATTTATTCTTGAATACCTCCGGTTATCCTTTTACTTTAAATATCCAGAAACAAATACTAGTTAACATGTGAACCTTTTCCACAAATGTTTAGTGTTATTTTTTTCCAAACCATTATAGCTTTCACATGAATGCTTGATTTATTCATTCATGGTTAAATGATTCATCCATCCATCATCCATCCAGATTTGTTATTTATTCATTCATTCAATTAGTCATCACACATTTAATCACTACGTGCCCCTGTTCTGGGCACTAGAGATGGGGATATAATAGTAAACTATAGACTTAATCATTTTTCTCCTAAGGTCAAAGTTACCCATCTCTGCTACAATATCCCAAACGCACATTATTTTGAGTAAGTCTACTTCAATGTACGCAAATCATTGCTGGGACTTATTTCATCTATAGTCTGATTCTTTTTTTTTTTTTAATATATTTTATTGATTTTTTACAGAGAGGAAAGGAGAGGGATAGAGAGTTTGAAACATCGATGAGAGAGAAACATCGATCAGCTGCCTCCTGCACATCTCCCACTGGGGATGTGCCCGCAACCCCAGTACATGCCCTTGACCGGAATCGAACCTGGGACCCTCCCCAGTACACCTTGACCGGAATCGAACCTGGGACCCTTCAGTCCGCAGGCCGACGCTCTATCCACCGAGCCAAACCGGTTTCAGCTATAGTCTGATTCTTAAATAGTACTTAAATACTTAAATCTTTCAGAGAGTCTCTTCCTCTACCTTCCTCAACAAACGTTATTGAGTATCTAATAAGTCATTTTCTTTGGAGCTTAATGCTTAAGTATATAGGTATGACTTGATATTTGTATCCATCGATCCTATTGGTAAACATCTGGGTCGATTTTTCAGCTAGTAAGAGGAAAACCAACCTAAAATTGCTTCAGCAAGTTAACCTTGTTCTTCATGTTCACATGGCTTAGTATAATGAAATATTCCTTGTGGTAGGTTGGTATAAATATTCCAATCGATAGGGAAGCCTTATGTCTTCTTCTCCACAACAATTTCATTGAAAAAGCTATAGAACCTTAGAGTTGGAAAGGATCAGGGACCAACATCCCTCCCCATTTTACAGGCTGAGGAATGAAGGCTGGAGAGATGGAGTAACGTACCCAAACACATCGTCAGCAAGTGGTGGTCTGGATGCCAACCCAGGCCTTGTGGCCATGTCTGTTCTTCAGTTCTGGTTCTTCCACGTGGTGGCTAAAACAAAGACAAGATATAACAAACAGGTTACATATAAATAACAGATAAGCCCAAAGTATTCTCGGTGTTTGATATTTGAGTGAAGTCAGCTTCATTGTATCATGCTTCAGCTACAAGCCTGATATCCTAACCGTCTTCAGTCCCAAGCCTTACAGCCCCTCTGCTCCCGACTCCAGGGCTCTCATTCAAGCAGCCTCCCAGAGCAGCCAGCCTCCTGAGGTTTTTGTCAGAAGTGGCTTTAGCACACAGCCTTGGGATGTCCTGGCCAGCTTCCTCTGACCAGCCCTAGGCGCAGGCCACAGCTTCTATCTGCTTGCTCTCTCCCTCAGTTCAGGGCATTCCTTCCCACCAACCCTCCCAGGCAGGTTGGCCTAGGGTGGTTCATTGAAATATTTCACAAATCACTCCTCTTCCCAGAGATCAATTCTGCATGTTACGAGGTGAGGCAGTTCTAAGACACTGCCAGGAAAAACAAGAAGTTTACCCAAGACAAGGGTGTCTACCTGCTTTAGTAGTTGCTGAACTAAGGCCAATTCTGTCCCTTTCAGAAGACCACTGACTACTCTGCTAGAAGAAAAAATGGTACCTGGCAACATTTACCTACTCAGACAATGGACTGGTCAGAATTCAGGCTGCCTAAAGGACCCACCTCAGGGAGGAAAGGACTAGGAGGAAGGAGAATGAAGCTTCGACTGGCCAAAGTGTGGCAGCCTGCTCCCCTCCTCTCTTCTCCTGGATGGGGGAAAGAGACGATTACAAAAACTTTTTTTTTAATAGTTATACTTATTTTTATATATTTATTTATCCTCACCCAAGGCTATTTTTCCATTGATTTTTTTTTAGAGAGAGTAGAAGGGAGTGGGAGAGACAGAGAGAAAGAAACATTGATGTGAGAGAGACACATCGATTGGTTGCCTCCCATAGAAGCCCTCACCAGGGCCAGGGGATTGAGCCTGCAACCGAGGTATGTGCCTTTGACCAGAATTGAACACGGGACCCTTCAGTCCACAGGCTGATCTCTAGCCACTGAGCTAAACCAGCTAGGGCAAAAGCTATTTTCTGACCAGCCCCAGGTGTAGGCCACAGAGTTCATCCGCTCTGTTCTGCTCTTCAGGCCTCTGAGATGAGGACCCTGAGACAGCAGGGCAGATGCTTCCCATCCTCCTCCTTGCAGAGGGAGCTGGGCAGCACTTCCAGTCCTAGACAGCGGTGCAGGTGTTGCCTCACTCAGCAGCACCCCGCAGGATGGGGAAGAGGAGGCAGTTGGCTGAGGAGAGGCTCTGGGCTTTAAGACTGAGCCATGAAGAAGGACCTCGCCCTCTGAATGCCCAGCCTAGCTCGTAGGAGTTAAAGCAGAGGCATGAGTGGGCTCCAGGCGATCTTACCATTCTGTTGCAAGGCTCTTACCTGAACCACATCCCCTCCCATAAACCACACACTGGCTCTTGGACAGTGCTTGGTCCAAAGTAGCAGCTCAATAATTAAAAAGTAATACTATGCCCACATGATGATATTCACCCACATTTTCTTCTGTCTCTCTCCATATTAAGCATCCCTATTGTCTTTATCAGCGATTTATAAAACTGTACAACATTATAATACAGCTTCTAGAGTCCTTACCCTCCTGGTCAGCCTTCCTAGGTTGTGCTCCAGCTTATCAATGTCCTTAAACTGGGACTGTGGTGGAGAAGCAGTGGAGGTAGCTGGCTATGCTGAGTACATGCGCCATGGACATTTCCTCCTCATTCTGAATGCTGTCTTCCTGTGATGAAGTCTAAACGGGCACTGCTTTTTTGGCTCTCAGGATCCACTGAAAGACAAAAGGCTTGCATTTAATTCTCCAAAAGCTCTAGCTCCTTTGCCATGGACACCTTCCATGTTCCTATGTCCAAGATCCAGGGTCCCGATCCCTAGCCTGAATGTTGTTGTGGCTGAAAGGCTTGAGTCAGCAGAAACTGGATCTTCATATCTGGAACTCCTATAGTAACATGATGGGGAGAGAGGGATACCGAGACCAACCCAGGCACCGGCTGTGATTTCCGTGTGTGTGTGTGTGTGTGTGTGTGTGTGTGTGTGTAGAAAAGCAAGCAAGAATTTGTTGACTGCAGCAAAAATATACTTAGGAGAGTGAAACAAGGAAGGGCATAGAAGATGCAACAGGAGAGCCATAGCTGGGCTGCTTTGGCTCACTGGGAAGTTTGAGAAAAGGGGGCCTTGTAGACAGGTTCAGGGGGTGAGCCTGGGATGAGCTGCTGCTGCCCATTGCTCCCCTGGTTGCAAGTCTCATACGGTCCCTTAGAGGCTAGGGCAGCCGTGGGCAAACTACGGCCCGCGGGCCGGATCCGGCCCGTTTGAAATGAATAAAACTAAAAAAAAAAAAAAAGACCGTACCCTTTTATGTAATGATGTTTACTTTGAATTTATTAGTTCACACAAACACTCCATCCATGCTTTTGTTCCAGCCCTCCGGTCCAGTTTAAGAACCCATTGTGGCCCTCGAGTCAAAAAGTTTGCCTACCCCTGGGTTAGGGGATATGTGCGGGGGTGGGGGACAGGCAGGAAAGGGGGAAGGAAATGCATGGGTGTGCTCCCTGGGGGGAGAGTGCCTGGCTGTGATTTCTGATGCCTCGTGCCTTCAGGCCCAGCCTTAGAGTCATACAGTCGTGCTCAGCTACCATGCTAGGCCCATACTTCTTCCTAGTTCCACAGCCAAATGATGAGTGTACAATATTTCCACCTCAACCTGATTGTCAGATTGTTACCAAGATGCCTATCAGATCTAACTTGAGCTCTGAGCTCACTGTGTGACCCAAGACAAGGATAGCCTACTTTTTCACAGAAAAGTCACGTATCTCTCAGAACTCTTGGAATCTAGATCAGGGTAGTAAGAACAGCCAGTTAACAGAGTCAGCATCATGAAGGAGAGACACTTTCTTCTAGTAATTTCTATTTAACAATATGGATTGGTTTACTTTCTTCAAATGTGTTGCCAAATTTTCTAATATTTAAAAGTCTTTTGAACACAACAAAATGAGAATTATTGGATGAATGGGATTTCAAAGGCCAGTGGAAGGGTCCCCTTTGCCAAATCTCCTTCCTAATGGCTCCCAGTTGCCTCAGATTTCCAAATGAGAGGCGATCATTTTCATTTCATAGACTTTTTATTAAAGCTTAAGATGTAAATTCACAATATATTTAATAGATTGCTATAAATGAGCCTTCAAGTTAACATAAGAAAACCATTTTCATCCTCAAAAGGCAGAGAGAGAATAGATCCCTAAGGGATGGTGGTGGGTAAGGCACCCACCAAGAGTCTGAATGGAAAGAATAGTAAAAATAAGAACCAACAAGGTACAGTGTTTGGCCCATAGGAAGCGTTTCATAAACCTGAGGTATTATTTTTGATTGAGTAGCTATTATGAATCAGGCACTATATTAAGTAATTTATTTTTAAAAAAATATATTTTTATTGATTTCAGAGAGGAAGAGAGAGGGAGAGATAGAAACATCAATGATGAGAGAGAATTAGCAATTGGCTGCCTTCTGCATGCCCCCCCACTGGGGATCGAGCCTGAAACCCGGGCATGCGCCCTGACCGGGAATCAAACTTTGACCTCCTGGTTCATAGGTTGCCGCTCAACCACTCAGTCACACCGTTTAATTCTTTCAACAGCCCTGTGAGTAGTTAGGAAGCAGAATGTATGCTTAAAGGAGCAGTGTTAGGAATCTTGTTATTGTCACTTGTGGTGGTAGAAGCAGGATTTCAATGGAGGTAACTTGCTCCAAAGACCATTTACATAACCATGGACACTAGGTAGAAAACACATTTGAGGGCCTTTACAGATGTGCCAAAAGTTGGCTGCATGTGTGCCTAATAGTGCTTGAATAAAAGACAGTTTATGCATGTGGGCCCTAAGGAAAACTATGCTATTAGGAAAAGAATGGTTTCAAGGTTAACATTTTTTCATTTTGCATAAGAAAGAACACCCGTGTTGTTCAGTCTTGATGGTATTTGCTAAATACTTTTAATTTTGTTATGTAGATTATATTTGTTAAGTTAGGAAGTTCTTCCAATGCAGTTTTATCTTTACATTATTCCTCTTAGTAACTCTTTAAAGTCTGACCTTAGGGTCAGATTAAAAATGTTTTCTTTCTCCAGGCTCTGATTGCTTATCCCTCTGTGTGTGTGTGTGTGTGTGTGTGTGTGTGAGAGAGAGAGAGAGAGAGAGAGAGAGAGAGAGGCACTTTGAGGGTAAGGGCTACCTTGTTTACTTCCTTTGGTTCCCCCATCATCTACACTAATAAAAGAGAAACATGGTAATTAGCGTACGACCGCTACCCTTCCCATTGGCTAATCAGCATATCCTTATGCAAATTAACTGTCAGCCAAGATGGCGGCCGGCAGCCATGCACTGAAGCAAGCAGGGAGGCTTGCTTGCTCCAGTGACAGCG